TCTGTTAAAGTAAAAGAATTAGAAGGCTTAACAATTACGTTAGCCTGTCCCACTATTTATAATAAGAGTTAGGAAAACCTTAGGAGACCCTAGGTATTACATAAAAGACCTAAATACCCTTTAACAGATAAATTAGTCTAAAACTAGTAAATTGCATCAATATATATATATAACCCTATGTTGCTGACAATCATATCAAACCTATAATTTGAATGGATAGGGTTGCAACTAGAAAACCAGAACATAAAGAAAAAAAATACATGCCTATTAAGTACATGGATCTTACCCCAGATTTAGAATTGAACATTCGTTCAAGTTCCCCGGATGCTGAAGAAAAGGACAACTTCAAGTTTCCCAGTCCAATTTCAATAGTTTCTTCCTTCGGAGTATCCACCATAGACACATACACACTTCTACTATTTCCTGCATCATTATAGCAGCTTATATTACTTTCAATTTTCTAAATGCGTGAGTTACTGATGTAAAAAAATTGGCACTCAGCCAAAAGCGTGGTATACATCTTATAGATTATGAAATGATTAGATTTAGAAAGTATATCAAATATGTTAATATTTTCTACAATTATTTCAAGTAGAGTTGAATAAGCATCTTAAACTAGTTTTATTACATTAAACTTCATTTGAAATTTAAAGAATGAAGATTAACAAAATAATGTTTGGCCTTTGCCTATCCCAAGTCCACATCACATAGCAGAAAAATGAATACTAAAATTATATTTAGAGAATAAGATGATGTAATTCTTGTACTTTATGCCATTCTTTTCTATTTTATACTGTTATGCGCTCGAATTATGAAGAGTGCCTCTAATTAGAAATTGAATGCAGAGATGTTGAAATTAGAAAGAAAAAGAAAGCAACCATGATAAGAATGGTAGCCTGTTGAGAAAAAAAAAGAACTTGAACCTTTCTGAGATGCTTTAGAAATGAAGTAAGTATTCCAACCCAGAGGTGGCACAGATACTTGAAAGAAAAGCCAGTATTTTGGAGCTTCTTCTGGTGAAATTCCAATATATGCTTCGACATAGAATCTTCTCATGTTGCTTGTGACATTGTCCAACTCTACATATTGCGACTCAATAATTTTGCCCATGGAATCTTTAACAACAAGATAATGATCATTAACCTGGAAATTATGCATCTAGTGGTTATACTCGAATGCCGACACAATCCAATTTGTGTCACCTCAACATACGAAAAACAGAGGGAAAAAAAAGTGACTCGGTGTACTATTCATAAACACGACTCTTTGCAGTTGGTGTAAATTAATAAAACACCCACAACTATGATACCATTGAAAGGTTGAAAAAAAAAAAAAGACTCACCGGGATCCTGACAAAGTCAATACGTTCCCATCCAAGTGGATTGTATACCACAACCACCTGAAAATAGAAATGCTGATTATATTTTCCAGAGCTTTAAATTGGTTGCATAAGCAGAAACAAAATCTATTACCAAACTCTTCCCCTTGGGAATATCAGCCTCCGTAGGTGGACAGAAACTTATATTGAGTAGTTGACACTGTTCACAAATTTAAAAAATGAAAAGAAAGAAAAGACCGCATTAGACCAGGATGGCACAATCTGATTATCTGAATACAACCAATGCCTTAATGCTTTAAAAAATCCCAAATGACATTCAAATCAGCCGAGGAAGGTCTATAGGGAGTATACTATCCATTTCCAAACATGTAATTAACCTAAATAAATTATCAATCAAATCACAGCAACAGTTTGATGAACTGCAAAGCATAAAATTGCATTTCATGCATCTCCTGCTACAAGTCTTTAGCGATTATCTGACATCATTGAATAACAGAAAATTGAAAAAATCGTCTCTATTTTGGATGTAGATTCAGAAAAAGCAGAAGTTTCTTTTTCTCCTTCTGTTTTGAAAATACAGAACACGTCACATTTAAAAATTTTGCTGATAAGAGCCAACACAGGATTACTTGAAAATTTTATTTTTTATACTCTCCAAACAATTTATAGATTCTTCATGTTTCAGTTCAAAGGAAAATCCACTCCTAATCAACAAAGTGTCTGCCATAAAGGAGAAAAAATCATAAATCAACTCATGATTGAATTTTTGAAACTTCCATGAAATTGCAAGGGTGGAAAATAACCATATACTTAAAGAAGTTTTATTTCAGTAATAAAATGACTGTTTAGCTGTTTGAAGGATATGAGGCCATTTTGTCAAATTGGCACAGTACTCTGTCACTAAGAATTTACGAGCAAAAGTGATAACTGATAATTAAGAGTAGACTTCTTTATTAAACTATATATTTGAAGAAGTAAAAATGAGTCTGCAACCTTCCATGTTCTCAACAAGTCGAAGCTCTTAGTTTGTATAAAGGGAGAGTATAACAATTTAAAACAAGAAAACAGCCACCTCAGTGCATTCCTTGCTGAAAACAGCCATTTGATGACTGGAACAACTATTACTGGAACATTCATTAGGAAACTGAAACAATTAATAGAAAGAAAAAGGTCACCTGGCTAAAGGTCATTGTGGGTGTAGCACACTGGCCATTTAATTTTGAATCAATCAGACACGACAAAGCTGAATTCACTGCGATTTCCGCCTACGGAAGTCAAACGGTATTTGGATGCTTATATGGGTGAGAAAATTTATTACGGTGAATAAGCATAAGGTCCAATTGTAGTAGAGGTAATTATAGTGAAAAATTATGTTTAAGCCCACCTCTGACGCTCCAATTGCCAAGCGTTTTGCATAGTCACTTGTAGTATGAAGTCTAGATGTACCAGTGACAGCATCGTGGTGCTGTGCAATTCCTAAAGCATCGCTTAAACTATAAGTATTAGGACCAGCTGATCTCCTTCCAATCAGAAATTCAATTTGTCGAGCCGCCTTTGTATGTGCAAACAAAACGCATTTCATTATTTTTTCAATATTAATTGTAAAACGAGTGAGTTTGATTCATAATTGCTATCAACAAAAGTACAAAATATATAGCGTACAAATTACACAAACTACGGAAATTATACAATGACATAAATGAGGAATTAATGTTGACTATAAAATGGCAAGTCAAAGGCTGGTTATTAGTTGATTTGATGAAGGCTGATTGCTAGTTGATTCCATTATTTTATAAATTAAGGCCGACTTTGAGAGTATCCCATGATTGTATGACAGTATTTTTAGGAAGTAAGATTTTCCTTTTCTGTATAGTACAAATGACTCTATAATTGTATAGATTCATGATTTTGTAATAGAACATCATACACATTCATCTTCATGGTATCAGAGTTGTCTGTGCACTTGTGTTCTGAGTTTTTTGTGTTTCTCTTCTTGGCATTCATTTCCCAGAAATTTATTTATTTTAAGTGACCTTCATTGCCCAAGCAAATTATTTTCCTTATTCTCTAGTTTGTTCCATCTCTTGGCCTTAATTGGCATTGTTAATTCCTGCCATTTTCTCTATTCCTCATCGGTCATCACAGTAATAAAAGAGCCATAAATTGTCAGAAATAATTGAGGTAAACGACAATGTTTTGGCAGTGGCTACTCAACAGAAACACGTTCATCTGAAAAAGCCAGCCAAGGAAACTAAGTTACACGGATTAAGGAACTTAAAAAAGGTAATGATGTAATCACATAAATCATATTCTTCAATCATCGGCTTTAGTTAATTCTTTGATATTCTTCAATCAATGAATCCCAGTAATCACTGAATTAATTTCGAATATACTACAATCACGGAAAATAATACCGATCGGTGGTATCAGTCGACTGTCAACATAAACCACATATGACGCTGAAAAGTATCAAAAACCTTATAAGGTTATTGATGAAAATTGAGTTTTTAATTATTTTTTAGTTAGTATTTTCTTTATCAAATAAATTTGAATTTTAATATCTTTTATTTCGAATTAGTTCTGAATATTAGGACTTTTAAATTTAAATCATTATCTAGAATGTAGTCATTATCTAGAGTTACTCATTATCTAGAGTTTAGTTGTTATCTAAATATGAGTTGCAAGCCTTATGGCACAAAAGGGTTTTTTTTTTTTTTTTAATTGAAATATTAATTGTTCTCCAATTTTTCATATAAACTCTTTTTCGATGTGAATCAAAGAGTTTGATGCCTAAATTCCTGATATTCTTATAAATCAATAGAAATTAGAAGGTTATCGTGTTGTTGTATTTGTTTGAAAACAACGGAACTTCGATAGTGTGTTCTTTTATTTATTTCTTACACTTTAGCCCTACATGGTATCCGAGCATGTTAATTTATTACTTCTATCGATCACATCATCCTACATAAGTTGGTATCAGAGCCAGATTCATTTTTGATATATTCGAGCTAATGTTCTATGTACTTTATTTTGTTGGTTGAGTTTATCCAAAATTTTTATTAGTTAAGTTCATCCAATTTTGACAGCTAGTGTTACTGAGTTAAGAGAGTTAGTATAACATTTTGTCACATCTTACTATACCAATAATCTTAATGTAAGTTATTAGACATAAAACGAACACATTGTTTAATATGACATAAAGTTGACACAAACCACATTAAAAATACTTAGTTCTTAACAAACGTAAAGTAGACACGTTTATATGACATAAAGTAGATATGATAGAACCAAGTTTTGTTTTGGGTAGGGTTGGACAAAATGTCCGAACCGAACCGAACCGAACCGAACCGAATCGAGCGGGTTTTTTTAAATGAAATACCCGAACGGGTATCCGAATCGAGAACCGAATGGTTTGGTTCGGTTCTAGACCCAGAACCGAAGAACCGAATAAGAACCGAATTTTTTTTTT